CGATATAGATCTTTTTGGGATAGGTGAGTGGCCCTGAAAAGGGCCGGGGTTGTCGATCTTGTTCGGATCCTCCTTACGCACGCTCCCCACGGATGCGACGGGCGAGCTGAATGTCCTTGGGCATGATGGTCACACGCTTGGCGTGGATGGCGCACAGGTTGGTGTCCTCGAAGAGACCCACCAGGTAGGCCTCGCTGGCTTCCTGCAGGGCCATGACCGCCGAGCTCTGGAAGCGCAGGTCGGTCTTGAAGTCTTGGGCGATCTCTCGCACCAGGCACTGGAAGGGCAGCTTGCGGATGAGCAACTCCGTCGACTTCTGGTAGCGGCGGATCTCTCGCAGGGCCACGGTGCCGGGCCTGTACCGGTGAGGCTTCTTCACGCCGCCAGTAGCCGGCGCGCTCTTGCGGGCAGCCTTCGTGGCCAGCTGCTTCCTCTGTTTGTTTACTATAAAAACACTGTGGGGCACGCCAAGCCATTCATAATCAGGCTACTTTATCAAGAACTACGCCGCACTACTTTGTGCCCGGACTACTTTTGACTACGGGGTTCAACTAGGGTTCAACCATACACGAGGGCCTGCATGGGGGTGTAGTGTTACACTGTTGTTACTTAATTGCATTACATGATGAGGTACATGATCCTTCCTAACCGACTGTAGATGTCGGCTTCCTGTGGGGCACTCACCTCTCACCTGATTCAACTTTTGGTGACCGTACAAATTACTACAATGCCCTTCGAGACCGGGCCCGACATCTTGGTCGGAGGCCGCGGCAGGGTTTGGCCAAGAAGGTTCACTTTTTGGCGACGTCTCAGGGAGGAGCCTAATGGTACAGTAATGTGTACAGTTTGCAAGAATTCTAGGAATATTACAGGCATTTTGTCCACAGGCATGGAACAGATACCAAGTCCAACAGGAAAATTTTGAAATTTGAACCCTCTTAAACTAAGCCTGGGTGCCATCGGATTTGTAATGTTGCCAAAAGCTGGTTTCTTTTGGTTGCGACATTTCTACCTCCATGGTGGTGATTATACAGGTATCCAAAGAAAATTGCATATTCATATACAACTATATTTGCAAATTCATATCTTCCCACATTAACAATAAAAAACAAAATATGTACACATGACGAAAGCATGTATTACACGAACTGTAGTTTTTATGACGTTATTAGTACTATCATGTAATAAGATATCGTTTTGTACTGTTTTAATGTGAACTTTTAACGTATACATGTACGTTATGTACGTTATATCACCAAAAAGATAACACACTCCAGAAAGTTCCTAACTCATTTATTGAAATATATGACTGGAATTGATAATCATGTTTCCACTGAATCAAAACCATTTGTACAATGATTGAATTTTTTTGTACCAAAGTTGTTTGAGTGAGAAATGAATGTTGTAATAGTTGGCAATAAAGTTAGCACAATATAGGTATCATTTCTTGTTGAAGGCTTATGAGAAGGTTTATGAATTGAATATTTGAAAATGTCGGAATCTTGTTTCTTGGGCCGCCTTGTTTTCGCGCTATCATATTAGATTTGAAGTTTGCGGAGGATGTCATCCATAAAATTTACCTGCTGTTGCCTAAATTGAATTAATAAGCATGCGACGCCGATATGTACTTTTGACATTGACAAACTACCTTTGCGAGTTTGCCCACTTTTAGGGCCATGCTGTTTGGATTATATGGATAACATCCCCTGGTAACTCCAAAACTGATGCGAGCGTGCAAATAAAAAGGCTGCCTTCATTATATTATGAAATCTACGTGTTCATGAAAGTGGAACAAGTGACACTGACTATGGTATGGTGAATAATAGACTTATCGTTTTCATTTCTTCAAATCATTTCTCCAAATTGTTTTTTTTCCCTTTCAAATTCTTGGTTAACGGGTTCGCCCGCTTTATTTTTTTCTGATTTGAAAAAAAATAAATGCTCATACTAGTATTTTGCCCTGAACAGTTGAAAACAGTCCTTTTCTTCATAATTGTTACAGTTATTCCATCTTTCAATGCAGTGATATCATTGAAACAATTAGACAATTAAAAATTCAATGTTTAAAGTTTGAACCAGCCTGGTGTGTTGACTTCATGGCTCTCTTAGGATGCCTAGGATGCCTAGGCCTGTCCTGTTTTTATTACCTCCATGAAATGTGTCATGGAGGTTACATTTTCAGTTGCGTTTATCTGTCCGTCCGTCCGTCCGTCTGTCCGTCCGTCTGTTGGTCAACAAGATAACTCAAGAACGCCTGGATGGATTGGTTTCATACTTGGTGTGTTGGTAGGGTGTGACGAAAACTGGAAATGATTAGATTTTGGGCCGCCTAGTGGCTTCCCTTGGTACTGCAGCGCAACTTCCGGTTTTGATATCTCGCGATCTGGACATGCTAGGGTCATGAAATTTGGATGGAAGGTAGCTCTTGTCCTCGGGAAGAAGTCACGTGAGTTTGGTCCCCCTAGCGGCTTGTTCTGGAACTGCAGGGTGGTTTCTTTGAAAATCTTCGAGAGAGGATAACTGAACAACCGTTTGATGGATCGTCATGATTTTTGGTATGTAGGTAGCTTAAGTGATGCTTGACATAATCAAAATATAATTATGCAAATCAGGATCTAATTTGCATAATTAATGAGGAAATTCTATAAATCAGCTGTATTTCATATTAGGGCTATAAAACTCTATAGACATATGTTAGTGAGAACGACAAGATCATTGGCAGATATCGATTATGTAAAGGAAGACCTAATTTGCATAATAAATGGCAAATTGGTACAATTTTATGGTGGTAACTGCTGGGCCATGGGAATTTAATACTTGCCATAATTGGAAGTTCAGTGAAGGTGAACATCAGTAAACATAATTTATGTCAATCAGGACCTCATTTGCATAATTTATGAGGAAACGCTAGAATAGCCTTATTTCTTAAGATAACCCTGTCATTTGGTGGAGAGTATGATCAATTGATACAATATATGCAAATGGCCTCATATGATTTGAATATATGCGGTGAAAAATGTAAGCCAATTACAGGTGGTCATCACCATGTGTAAGATTTCTGAAAACAATACACATGTCATGGAGGTATGAGATCATCAAACTCTAGTTTTTATTATTTTTTCGGTATTTTTCTAGAAAAATCCGTTAACCAAGAAATCAAATTGGTGTGGCCTTAGGAATTGATTTTGGCATTCTATGACATTAGTATCGTTTTCCAATATTTTTCTTTGAGATTCATGGTATATATTTGCTCATTTTGAAGATGCCTGTATGGTCGAAAACGTATTCTTATTGGAAACGGACTAAAATTTATGCAAGCATAGATGTCATCCATATAATCAAATCAACATGGCCTTATGTATACCTTTTGGACACCAAGAATCTTGACAACAATGTATAAGTCCTATCAGATGTCTAGATGCCAATGACGTTGCCTATATAATCTGACCTCGAATAATAGCGCTTTATCATTTCATTAATAACACTTGAAAAGGATTATTAATGGCTCTATCCAACCCATTAATGGCTCTATCCAACATAATGTCCTTGCTCTGTCAGTTTCATTCTAAACTTCATGACTTGAGCAGTAACGGAGATTACGCAACTCTCCAATTATAACACAAGGCTATAATTTCTTCCAAGTCACCAAACAAACCTAGTGTATAAGTGTTACATTTCTTGTAAGAGAATCCAAAGTGAAAGCAATGATGACGTCCGTGATTTGGCTCATATCTAGGTGTAAATAGTGGTGACAGCTTAGTACCTGTACTTGGTGCTGAACTAACATCATGCATCATTTTGCACATTTGAATAGTGAACAAGCCAATAGTGATAACATTATATGGACCGTCTTTACAATGACTAAAAATTGGACATCATATTAAAGCTGTACACATTGCATTGTTAAGCATTTAATACATTCATAAACACGGTAAATACAATTTAGTCCCATTCAATGTAGGGCTCATGATCACTGCTTTACATTATTATTATGCTGTAGTAGTATCAGTAACATTTAACAATGGTTGACTGTCTAACAACAGGTCTATCACTGGCCTTGATTTTTTATGATTAAGTAGTAACAATATGTTATGTAGCAAATATGATGGCATGTTAGAGAAATTTCCACTTTCTTTCGAATTTATATTTATAATTACACCTATGCCTGATCCCAAAATATAGCTAGTAACATTATAAATCAGTGAGATATTATGTATATACTAGTATTCTATACGTTTTTCTATAAGTACATGTACCAACAATCCTTTCAAAATGCATAAAAAATTCATAAAGAAATCTGCAATACAAATGTAAAACAATTCTTTCAATATCATACATGTACACTTCTTAGTCAATTTACATTATTCATTTACAAACATTCATTGCTAAGTTGGAAATATCAAAATTGCATCTATAAAGATTAAGTAACTAAAAGATGTGCTGATTACACTTTGACCCTGCCTTTGGACCAAGAGGTTGGGAGTTTGATGCTCACCCAACATGCATACTACTGGAATGGTTGCAGTCTTTAATATAGGATGTTAAGTCGTGGTCCAATGTTCAATATGCTTGTCGAAAAGAGCTAGGAGAATTTTTCCAGTACAATGTACTAGTACCTGTAAATACTGGTTCTTGCAGATACGTACCTGTATGAACACTAGGAGGTTTATGATCCCCAAAAAAGGGGAAATTTCATCTAGATCTTTCGACCAGTCACTCTGGTCTTCTTCAATTGACTGACCCAGTGAGACTTGTCACATGGCTTAGTGTGATGTCAACACTGGGTTAAAGGTATCTGGTAAACGATGTTGGCCCCTGTTGCAGCGTTGACGTAACATTTCAGAGAAGACACATGACAAGTCTCACTGGATCAGTCTATTGTAGAAGACCAGAATGACTGGTCGAAAGCTCTAGGTGAGATTTTCCTTTTTGTGTTAGAAAAAAGTTAGTTTGATCTTTAAACATTAACTACCAACACTTTGATGAACTTTCACGATTGTTGTCAGTCTTATTATGCTCTTGTTAAGACATCAGTGTAGCACTCTTCAAAGTCTTGCACAGGGTGTTCCGCCTCGGGAGGGGGGCAGGCTGGTGTTAACGACTCACTCAGTCGGAACACAAGGTCATCGAAGGTCGGTCGGAGGTCAGGGTCCTCCTGCCAGCACTGCTGCATGATGGTATAGCTGTGGGTGGAAAATAGTAACAGGAACTATTGGTAAAGGTGAAAATCACTTCATGTTCATGGCAGCAAAAGTTCACTGTCTGAAAAAAAATGGACATCGTTTGTGGTGGCAGTAGGTTCAGCAAAAAGAAAGTTGGCAAATTATTTGCTAACAGTAAGTTGGTGGTACAGAATTGACTGTGAAAAACATGAATGTAAAAGTACTGTGAAAAAATTGTGATTTACAGTACTACAAATATACATGTATAGTAAGGGCTACCAAACCAGCAATATCCGAGCAACCCCTCATACAAGGATGTTTAACCAAAGCTTTAAATGAAAATTCACTCAGATTTTAAGACAGCTTCCAGAATTACAAGACCTTTTAGATGATCTAAAATTACCCATGTACAGTACTGCTCAACTAAGGATTACATTATGCTATGTAGTCTGTTCAATACTTTCTTTAGATACAAACTAGCCGACTGCTTCCAACCCATGTCAGGGACTCCGCAGTAGTATAATCAAAACCTGGATAGTAGTAGTAGTAGTAGTAGTAGTAGTAGTAGTAGTAGTAGTAGTACATGTAGTAGTAGTAGTAGTAGTAGTAGTAGCAGTAGTTTCTTTGCAAGACCTCTCTACTATGCCTTCAAGTAGAAAGGCCACACAAAACTAAGAAAAATTTCTTAACTGAACCCTTGGAGCCCCATGGAAAGTGTTAGTTTTGAAGGCTAGACCATACCATAAATTGAAGACATTCCATATTTCTTGACTACTTACATGTGATCTGGGCAGTACTTTGGTTGCTTCAGTCTGCGTCCCCGCTGAAGGTACATGGCCAGGTCAAAGTTGTCCACATCTGGGTATGGTTTCACTCCCCTCATGGCCAGCTCCCACATTAGCACCCCAAAGGACCACTGAAAAAAAAGAAGAACTTTAGGTATTGCACAACAATTGTAGCAGGGTCATGTGGCATAATGGTAGAGTGTTCGTCTCAGAACCCACAGGTCCCGGGTTCGAACCTTGCCATGCCACTGATCTTGTGTCCTTGGGAAAGGCACTTTGCACAACTTTCCTCACTTCACTCAGCTAGGTGAAAATGAGTACTGCCCCAGGGATGAATGACCTTTAAAAATAAGATATAAATAACACGCACAGGAGAAATCTTACCTCACATACTGCAATTGATCATGGGTAGGTGGAAAACAATGTCCAGTCTGATCAAACGGCCAGACTATTTCGACCCCAAAACTGGTTTAACTTCGTTTTCCGCTGAACAAACTGGACATTGTATCAACCCGGTTCATCATCGAGATAGAAAAAATTCTAAACAATAACCCCTAAATCGGACTGGACATTGTTTTCCACCAACACGATTAATCATCTACATAGACAAGATTCTAAACACTAACCACATCACTCTTGGTGGTGTAGGTAGCATCTAACAAACTCTCCAGAGCCATCCACTTGACAGGCAGCCTGGCCTTCTTGTCCCCACAGGTGTAGTAGTCCTTCTCATACAGGTCTCGAGACAGGCCAAAATCTGCCACCTTCACTACCAAGTCTTCACTAACCCTGGAGGAACAATTAAAGATATTGTGAGCAAAATTTATAGGCAATGATCCAAGTGACAGAATAGAATCCATCGACCAAGCAAAGAATTTTAGATTCATTAGTGGGGTCGTGTGGCGCAACAGCAGCGTGCGCGACTCGGAATCAAGAAGTCCCGGGTTCGAGTTCTGACATGCCACCGATCTTGTGCCCTTGGAAAAGGCACTTTACACGACTTTCCCCACTAGACTCAAGTAAAAATGAATATTGTCTGTCCAGTATTCGTTTCTATGTGTGGGACACAACACCAGCAACGGCTGTCACTGTTCCGCGGGTACTGCACTGTTGCAATTTCAATAAATCAAATCAAAACAAATTAGAAATTCCCATAGCAAACCACCTGGTACTGATAGGTGACTGTCAGTGACTGATTAGTTACTGACAGTCACAATACAGTAAGGCAGTTTAACTGTCATGACCGTAATGTAACAGTAATTGACAAGTACTGATAATTATTCTGACTGATGTCTTACTGACTGTCACTGTCATGACATTACTGATATGTTATTACTGGCAATTGCTGAAATGCTACTGTAAACTTCAGAAAACACAGTTCAACTACTGTAAACTACTGACATTTATTACCCCTTATATGTGTACAAGGTATGATATCATGAAGTAAAGCCTACTCACATGCAGTTCCTTGCAGCCAGGTCTCTGTGTACAAACTTCAGGCTGGACAGATATGCCATCCCCTCCCCCACCTGCAGTGCAAATCCTAGGATGTCCTGCACTGTCAGCAACTGGAAACATGGGAAACAATTGGAACATAAATGCAATGGAAGCAAAATATGATTATTGATGATTTTTCGGCAGATGCGTATTACCTGAGGAGGAAGAAAAAGAAGAAATAACAGACCTGCCAAGCACAGTACACTCTTTCACATTCAGATGATCATTTATATATTTTATTCAATGACAAAATATGTATGATAATGTTACAATCATCGTTGTCAGTCATCCTCAGCTTGCTGAGGTAAAGCATCTGCTTTTTCTAGCAGCATGATGATTTTTCTAGTAGCTTGTGCAATAATATTGCTTTGCTAGTCGGCTTGCATATATAGGGATAATGATGTGAATCACTTTGTGGCTACTATGATATAATTGGCATTATGAGACAGGGGTTTGCCAAGCCTCCATCCGGGTGATTTGAAGTGTATAACCAACTACCAGGTACTAATGTTTGGACCATTGCACACCGGGGCATGTCATTAATTTTTTGAAAGATGCACATGTAGTGGGTGTGGGTTTGTGAATGTGCGTGAGGTGTAGCTCTGCCAAAACACTGGACCTCCATTTTAATCCTATCCAAGGGACAATCATCATGTATATTTATGTACACCTAGAGAGTCTTAGCTGAGGAGTTGTGACAGTTGTTTCCTACCTGTTGAGGGTTCCTGATGAAGCTGTGCAGGTCCCCTAGTTTCATGTAGGGCAGGATGACCAGAGGAGCACCTGTAGTGGGCAGACTCACCCCCACCAGGTGGAGGACATGCTTGTGGTTAAAATCCTTCATCATGATGCCTTCTCGTAGGAAGTTCTCTATGTCACTCATGTCACAGTTGCTTCCTGGAAGAAAAAATACAGTATGATATATCAGGTAACAATTACAGATCCTTATAGACAACAAATAAACTAAGATGATAGTCACAACATCCAGTGCAATTTCAGGGTGACAAAACGGGATTTTCAGAGTCATTTTCTGGTCATTCTTTTATGGTAGTACACTAGTACTGTAAGCTGAATCCATCCTATCCCATAGCATACTGATTTCTGTCAGGCTGTGATTTATGGGTGCTGGCAAAAATAAATGAGATGCCTCATGTAGCTTGTTTTGGGGCAATTTCAAATGCTTCAAGTATGAAATGATGACAAAAATGTGCTAAGAAATGACAGCAAATGTCAATATCAGACAGATTTTCTCATCCAGAATATTTCTTGCTCTGCCACTCTGAAATTGCACTGGATGCCTTTAATGATTATTGCAAAAGAGTAGACAGAGATTGCAAGACTCAAAGATTTATTCAATAGAGAGATTGCAACAGTTCTATTTCTACTTACAAAACGTTTGTCAGTTAATGGCAGTAAAAGAAAAAAAATTCATTACTGATGAGAGCAACACAACCAAACATTGTCAACCATATTGTGTATACCTACTGTTGAGAGTCTTGACAGCGACTCTGACTGGCTCCTTCTCTCCTGGATGTTGGTATGTTCCATAGAAAACACTTCCAAAGAAACCTGCATTGAGAGATGATTTAAAAAAAAAGCGTCATACTGGTATTATCAACTACAGCACTATTTTTAGTTACTAGTATATCATGTATTGTAAATCACTTTATATTCACGATAGCAAAATTCTCGGTCTGAGAAAACTGGAGTCCATGTTCACGGAACTACTAGTAGATGTTCACGGTGCCAGCAGGAGCAGCAGGAAGAAAGTCAGCGAATTATTTGTTCACGGTCATGATCACTTTGTGACTGCGAAAAGTACAACGTACAAAATTATAGTGATTTACAGTATTCTGTATTGCAGTATATACATGTACATGTATATAAAGAATCTCAAAGTCAGTTGTTCCATTTTGTATGCAATATGTGAATCTCCTTGTCTTTTACCTTGCACTCATTTAAAAAAAATCTCAGCAGCTGCAGTACCTTTGCCAATGATGTTATGTAGGTGGAGCTTCTGTCTGGGGATCAGTGCTTCCTCCACAGATACAGCCAGGTCAGGATCGTCCACCCTCAGTCTGTCCAGGGTGTCGTTCTCATACACAGACGGGAGGGCCTGGTAGTCTGGGGTGACAGAGATGAGAGGTGTCAGGTTGCTCATGAGTGGTGGAAACAGAACCAGGACTTATGTAAATTACTGTATGTCCTACCTGGGCCGCAATTACGTTCGATACGGATGTTCCAGCCCGTGTGATAACTAGCAGTACGGCCCGGGGGGTTCTTTACGCGTAAGGCCCGGGCGTTCCAAATGTTCCATAGAACAATTCAAACGCGTTTCAGCCTAACCGCGTGCACCGATTTCGAAATTCGAATACAAAATTTGGACATTGGAATTGATGTTGTTGCATTTTTTGGATTAAGGGACACCAAATTTTAGCTCATTTCGCATTGAAAGGCGTGTTTTCTTGGGTAAGTATGACATAAATAAATTAATACATTGTACAACATGGTGTATTCCGCATGACCCTCGGTCCCAGCCCTCCCGCGGATCGGATCTCCCTCCGGCCTTCAGGCAATCCGATGCCCGGTCAGGCTGGTACCTCAGGCGATACGGAATACCCCGTGTTGTATTATATATGCATCAATATCTATTAATAACCATTTGCAGGATATGCTTTGTTGAAGTTCTGTGTGACTGTGTAGTCATGTAAATATTTTACATTTGGGAACGCATCTATAGCAATAGCCGCAACAATGTGAAATGTGCAATGTGAACCAGTCAGAATTGCCCTGAGGAAGGTGACAGACAGTCAACAAAATGTCGGCTGAATAATAGACATGGTTATGTAAAAAGAGTCTCTTTATTCAGATTTGATTTCAGTTTGCAAACTGTAACATGGCTCTGTCCTTGGTGCTGAAAAAGCAATTACTAAACTGTAACTGACTTTACAGTCAATATTGCACACAATTTCAGTGTCTGAGCAGTCCCTGGAAGGCAGAACAAATACAGGTGAGGCCCTTCCAATGGTATTTGTAGGAAAGTGTCCAAATAGGAACAAAAGTTAAAGAATAGATGGCAACATGGCATAAATGACAAACAAAATTAACAAAATCTGATTGAGAGTTAAGACAAAACAAATCAAAGTTGGCACACGTACTGTTGTCTATGGACATCTGCCTGGCCACACTGATAGGGTCTGGTTGTGACTCAGGACTGCTCATGTCCACCATGGCTATCTGTTCATCAGGGACATTCCACCGGCTGTCCCTATTGGTTCTCCTGATGATGGGGTTACCACGGCGCCGCTTCCAGGCAACCAATAGGGCCACGAGTACCAGGATGGACAGACCAATGGCAGCACAGACAAAGATGATAATGGCATCAGGGACCTTCTTGACACTGCGGTGGGCAAACTGTAGTTTCAACTCACCCATAGTAAAATGTAGGTTTCCAACTTTGACCTATAATATAAAAAAAAAATACATTTTTTAAAACAAATTTTGGACAGATAAAAAAAAGACCAACATGTAATTATCACTATACATGTAGTTGAAAATATGTCTGTCATTGATATACATTGTAATTATTGATTTAAGTCAAAACCTCTATTTAGTCAAAAGCTTGTTCGGTCGACTTGCCGCTTTTCAACAAGGTCAAGAGAATTAGGGGGTTACGGATAATAAATAAAAAAATTAGCACTAAAACTTAGTACAACAATAAACAACTAGATAGATAAATAAACAAAATAATAAATCATTCAAGTAAGAGATCACTGTCTAGTGTTGTAATATAATATAAGGTACACCAGTTTTAACATATGTTTGAAAAGTACAATTATTAATAATATCAAATCCAATCAAATTGACCATTACCATCACTACAGCATCTGTAAAGTTGCCAAATTTCTGGTCATCTGGCAAACGACAATGTAGTTCCTGAAACACATGACAAAAAATAAAATCATATACATCAATGTTAGAATGTTAAACAGAAAAAACTGCCATGCTGAAACAACTAGGAGCAAGTAGAAACACGAAATCCCCGGCTCCCGGGAATCGAACCCTAACCGTTAGGCCAAAAGATCTGGACCAGTCAGTTGGTAGCACTTGAAACTTCACTGGTACACTACTCCCCCTTTTCATTTGAAGATTCGTCCTCAAATCTAGAGCACAGTCAGAAACACACATCAAGTAGAAAGAGAACCCTGCAAATGATGCAACTGACTCGTCTGACAGGTCTGGACCTTTTGGCCTAGTGGTTAGGCGTTGGGTTCTTGAGCTGGCGGCCTAGGTTAAATTCCCTGGAGCCAGAGATTTCATGTTTCTACTTACCCCTAGTTGTTTCAGCAGTTTCCACACTGGGAATCGAACCCAGGCCTTGGTGGTCAGAGTGCCAAGTCCTTACCACTAGCAGCTGACTTCTAGTATGTGACTGGCTATACACCAGAACAACATGCCTTAATTGAACTGTTTAAAAGCTTGACTAGACTATAAAGACAAAGACATATCAGTCTACCTGTGAGTTCAGCAATGTTATTCTGCAACTGTGTTGTCCCACCAGCACTGTGAAGTCTTTGATACCATGTACACTGTCAAGGTGGTCACCCTTCAAAAATAGAGAGGAAGTATAAACTTGAGATTGGTTATACTTTCTATAAAATCCTCCTCTAGTTAAACTGAAGACAGTTTGTGCTTTCTTATTATCTAATTGCAATGACAATACTTTTCCTTGAAGCTTTAATGGGGATAATATGTTAGATATCTGGTACTGTACAACTAAAACAACTGTCAACATTCATTGCCTAAAATATCTGAACGACTGCACATCCTTTTTTTGCTTTTAAATGACCATTATAATTCCAATGACAATACTTTTCCTTGAAGCTCTAATGGGGATAATATATTAGATATCTGGTACAGTAACTGTAACTATCAAACAAAACATTCATCTCCTAAAATATCCTCTTTTTCTGCTTTTAAAGATATATGAGAGGTTCACTTTTTCTCACAGTTACATGTACATACCTTGAGCATCAATGTTCTTCCAGATTTTGGATACCTCTTACTGAGGTCAAAACTGAAGAACTCAGGGTCTGGGTAGTAGGTAAAATGTCTCAGGTCTGGAGACGGCTCATCAACCACTCCATCTAACACCAGAGAGAGCTGCACTGTGATTGGCTGTGGAGCTGAAAGTGGGAGGAGCCTGCCAGTGATTTTGGGTGATTGACAGATCATCTGAGTGGACCTGGATGACTCGGAATGGATGCAAGCCTGAAAGGAAAAATTATGTCATATTTCTGAAACATTTTATGCAAAAGTTAATGTCAACCCTACATTCAACGATATGGACCATATGTATTACTGTAATTCACAATATTTTCACAGTACTTTTGTGTTGAACTTCACAGTTTTCGCGGTCACTTCTGTACTGCGAACTTATCATTACTGTGAACAAATAATTTGCCGACTTTCTTTTTTCTACACCTGCCGCCACAGTGAGCATAAAGTTCCGCAAACATGTAAATTCATGTAATTTCTCAGAACGTGAATTTTTGCTGCCTCGAACGTAAAGTGAATTACAGTATAATATTATATCCCTTTGTGTATAAATCTGCAATATCATGTATTAATTTTTAGTACTTCAAACATAGCGTACTGTTCTAATGCTTAAATGTGTATATACATAATGATTCATAATTAAAACCATTACTGGATAAAGTATTTTGAGTTTCTTATTCTGTGCCTACCTTGCGGAATGAGATCACTTCATTGCCCTGTAGAAAACTGATGTTCATCATAGGCTGAGCCACACTGTGTAGGTTCACACCTGTCACATTGAGTTCAGTACCTCCACTGTAAAGAGAAACATTTCATGTTCATCTTTCAAACAGAAATAGAAACAGAAAGTTTTTTTTCTGTCAATAAGACTGCTGTTCACATATAGTTACACACATATACATGTGAAGAAAGGATTCAAAGTGGTAACATCTGTGTCCATAATATCACCAGGGTCCATAATATTGCCACCTTGAGAAAAGATATTTTTACTGCAACATACCCTAGGTATGTACATTTGAGGTGTGCAGGAGTGCATACCAAAAGTATGTTGCAGTAAAAATATCTTAAAGCACACTATTTCTCAAGGTGGCAAAATAATGGACCCTGGTGATATTATGGACACGGATGTTAAATTATCAACATGTATTAACAAAATTCTGATAGAACTGCATTATGTAACTTCAGGATGATATAAAAGTCACATTTCTGGTCATTTCTTTACAATTTAACCCTAAACAGTACACCTGGGGTCCGCGCGGACCCCAGCACTATATATTCTGTAATATCTTTTTTGTTTCTAAAGATTTTTTTCTGAAATTTTAGGTAATTGTTACCCACAAAGTTGTCTCTCAATACAGTGCAGAAAACTCCGTTTCTACCATTTATAAAAAAATTATATCTGATTTTCTTTTGGGGTCCGCGCGGACCCCAGCCGGCTTTCGATCATAATGGATACACTGGCGTTCTTATACATTACCTTATTTCCGTTTTTATATGTTTTTATGCACTCATCGTATGTCTACCAAGTTTTCAGAGAATGGTGTAGTAATAGAATTAAATTTTAATAACTTTGGTGTCATTATGACGTCATATGACGTCAGAGCTAATAATATAGTCCGCCATATTGGATTTTGACCACTGACGTCATCAAATTAGCATATTCTATGCATATTAAATGATTTAACTTATATTTAATTATGTAAGATGTAATTAATGTTGGAAAAGAAGTGTAATTTAATATAAAACTCAGAAAATTTTTATGTTTAAACCAAAATTACTTCTGTTTTCAAAAAAAAAATGCCTGCTAGAAACCCGTTGCCATGGCAACACAAAAACATCAACTTACTAGTATTAAACTAATATGAACTTTTTTCCAGAGACATTTTAGGAAAGGTCTCCAAATTTGATACTTCTAGCGCAAGCCGTTTAGCCGCTATCTGAGATCAAAGTTGGGCCTCAAAAGCCCCTTCAGTCTGAAATGGGTTTAAAATCGGGTATTTCTTCTTGTCTTCTTTTCTTCACCAAAAAATAGAAAAAGTTCAAAATGTATGATTTTTGTATGTAATGTGGACACAGAGGTTCCCACATCAGTTTTCAAAACAATTGAGCTGGTAGCATGTTGCTAATTTCTAAAAATAAGCAAAAAACTGCTCTGGGGTCCGCGCGGACCCCAGGTGTACAGATTAATCAGTCCGGGAAGGTGTTCTGTTGAGGGTTAAATAAAATAAAATTATCGTCTTTGCATACATTAATTGGTGATTTTTTGCGCTAAATGGATTATTTTTTCGGATTTTGTTGAAAAAGTCGAAAATTCACGGAATTTCGGACCGCTATATTTTAGCCAATCACCGAGCAAACCTGGCTACACATATTACGCAAGATTATTTTATATTTTTCGACGACTAGGAATAAGATGAAAAATATCTGCTTTAGGGATTTTTTAAATTTCTGACTTTAAGTGTAGTTTTTGTCGACAAATAGGTGAAAAAATTGAATTTTTGTCTTTTTTCGCACTCAATTACCCATAATTCAAAATCGAGAGCATTTTTCAAAAATCCCTAAAGCACGATTTTCGGGACAACCGTGACAGTCATTTTGATCCGTAAATTGGGTATGTTTGACTCTCCATGCTTCCAGGTTTGAACGAGTTTTGCAGACATGTCATATATCCCAAAAGTGTGCATTGTGTTATTCATAAAGGCATCATTACAGTATTCAAGGTCACCCAAGGATACGACAGTAGCTTCGCTACATGTTACATGTCCACAAAAAAATGATAGCAGACATGTACTGTCCTGGAAACTGTTTGTCTCTATAGAAAAGTGTTGTTTTTTTTATCTGTTGCGAGGCACTCAGGCAGAAGGGCTTGTTTTGCCGCTTTATTGCAAATGACCGCAGGTGACCCCGAAATAGAACGCGGGTTCGATTCGAATTGCCCAGATCAAACACGATCGAACAGAGTTCGGGTTCTATGAAATGTGGGAACCTTTCAGCCCAGATTTTACCACCGTGTGAGGAAGACTGAGTGCATGATTCAGTCGAAAATTCCGGTGAGTCAAACTTTGATTTGGAGAACAGTTTAACTTCTTCATAATGTAATTTACCAACTCATGCTGAAGTTTGATTTTCATTAAGCTTTTATTGATATTAACGTGCATATGATTGAGATCGTCAGCCACAAAGAAGAGGAAACAACGGAATTTTTACATCGTTTAAACTACGCAACAGACTTTTGGAAGTGACTGTCCAAAACCTTTATTCATTATCGATCCAGGTATTCAGACGTCTTCGTCAATATTTGTTATTTGAACAGTTCAGTTTATCAGGAGAGCTGTGGTGCCAGGCAAACATTCAGTCAAGCATCGACAACCGACGTTCGAAGTCCACAAACGTCTACGCTGGGTCGCTTACACCAAAAATTGTTATTAAATTATCGCACTGATTTTTGCTGGAAATGTTCATATTCAGGAAGGACATCAATTAAAATATCCGTATAGTATCTGGCCCGGTATATGTTATACTACAATTCCCACCAATTAACTCAAGTTTCTTTGTGTTACTTGACCACAACTGGTTACCAATATAAGATAAATCGCTGTATTGGAATTCTACAATACAACACAGCACAATACAACACAACACAACACAACACAAGGTAACTAAAAGGGCTTACCCATTCACGTCCCCACAAGGACATCTTGCTTGACTTATACCCTTCTCACGAAAGCTTCGCGTCTTTAGTCTCGACAGAGTTACAGCAGATTTTACGGTCTTGGTCGGGTGCGTAACGGAGGGGTGAAGTCTCCACCTACCTGTCCACCAATTTATCGATTAATCGATAACCTTCACATGACGTAATCTGGACTGTTCCATTCACCACCACTTTGTCATGTTATTCATAACGATGAGTTAAAATGCCTTCATGATTTTTTCGGTCATTTTTCAATAGTTTGAAACCAATCACGAAAATTGGTAGATTGACTTTGATTCGTCTTTCAAAAAAATTGTGGAACAAATATGTGTATCATATGTATCATTTGATTGCTGTAATTGTTGGGATTTGTATTGATTATTATGTGATACCCTGCATAAGAAAATTGTGGAACAAATATGTGCATCATATGTATTATTTGATTGTTGTTATTGTTGGGATTTGTATTTATTATTATGAGATACCCTGCATCAATTCAGCCGTATAAAGGCTGCGACTGCACGGGTACTGTTTGGACAATAAAAAAAACATTTATTATCCTCTACGCCAATTTTTGGGCGGCATGAGAGTTCAGCATACGCCATACCTCATTAAAGCTCAAGATGATTGCAGCGGTTGTCCCGAGAATCATGTGAAAAACAAGATAACTTGTTGACACCTTGTCTATCAGGGGCGTTACTATCGGACCATCTTTTACTACAAAATTCTCCTAGCACAAATATCATGTACAAAATTGTAAAACCTGAAAAATTAAGTTTCCTAGTGAATTCCTAGTGAAAACTGTATCTATACGTGACAAATGAATCTCTTCAACTGAAAAATTAAGATATTGCCATACTTTATTATTCTGTTTGAAGAACTTTGAATCCCCAAAGCGTCGCAGAGACCACGTAACTTCCCATCATTTAGCGAAAGAGCTCGGTGTGGGATGGTGGCGGCGTTCTAGTTCCTTCTTAAACATATAATATGTGTGATAAAAATGACACCAAAAAGTTAGTCTAAACAGGTATAGCGCTAACTTGACATCAATTATTTAGCTTAAACAGTAAAAGAGGAAACACACGCTACAATGATACTAATTGAAATGTTTTTTCCAATTTAAGCATCAAAATGACAACTTGTGACGGTTAAAAACGACATGTACGATTTTGAAGTAAACAGAGAAATACTAGAACAACAAAGGATGTGCTTTCCTACTGACTTTTACAATTTCTTCTTTTCATCTTGTCTTTCACTAAAATGACTTGGTGGCTTTTTATATTTGTTTCTCCTATGTCTGACAACACGACAACGTTGATGTCGATAGGCAGCACATATGTACATTATTATTACTAAGAAAAAGACCCTCTTACATGTGTCTCCAAAACTTTCTCTCATCATATAAAATGGTTACAATACTAGCAAAAAAAAATAGAAAAAGAAATACAGCGAATATAATTGATGTAGATCCACAATCATTTTTAAGAAATATAATCATTATTAAAATGATATTTTTACACTTGTCAATACTTTGCTCTGCTACTAGATTGTCATTTAGGACGAAGCAATCATTCTGATAAACCTGTGTGGATTATTAACTCTAACATCAGAAACAGTATATGATTGTTACATTATAAGCAATGAGAGGATTATACAAAATCTTAAGTTCATCTTTACGAGAATTATAAGACCTCAAACAACAACCTTAGCCTGAACACACTAAAGTTACTATTTGAATTTAGTTTAAGAACTTATCTTTAAATTTGAGCTTTAAGAGATGTCTATGATTTTTTTTTTCAAAAAAGCTTGGAGTTTCGACTACAGCACTGGCTCGCAGCCGCAAGTTTTAAACAACCTTCTTATTACATTAAGTAATATTTCTAAACTTGAATAAATAACGTTATATCATTGTTACATATTACAGATTGTTAGGATCTTTCCCTAAACTTTAGTTAAAGTTAAAATTAGTTACCGTTCCTCAAATCTTAAGCTGCCAAACAGCACTTAAAAAAAATTATGTTGAGAATTTAGAAATCAAATCAACTTGAATCAAAAGAAATGAACTTTTTTTTGGGGGGGGGGGTAATAATTAAAGATTACGTATTTGAA